GTGATTTTCAAGGAAATTTGTTTGCCACTTGCTGATTTTTAAATTTTTTTGGAAGTTAATTTTAACTTCTTTCATTGATAATGAAGAAAAGTATTACACCTTTTGAAATACACTAAATGGATTGAGTTTGTAATTAAAAAGTGTTTTCCCCCTGTCAAATAAATAAATAAAATAAATTTTAAAAAATGTTAATTGGTAAGTGTATAAAGAGGTATAAAGAGATATAGAGTAAAACTGCAACTATATAAGATCTACATATACACATAGTACTTGAAATTTTGCAGAAAATATACCAAATTTCATAGCAGTACTCGGTGGATAGTGTAGTGGTTTTTATTTCACTATGTGGTTCTGGGATTTATCAAATCTTCAGCAGTAAACATGGGCAGCTAAAAGGAAATGCAGTTTCCTAGAGTCTGTTTTAAAACAGAGCTAAAGGGCCTGGGGAGATAGCTCAGTAGAATAAGCTCCTGCCTGGCAAGCACAGTGTCTTGAGTTCAATCCCTGGTACCACAAAAAAAAAAAAAAAAAAAAAAAAAATCAAATCAGAACTAAAGACATGGACAGAACAGGTCTGCCTCTAGAGACAAGTGTGACCATTCCCCCTCCTGCTCACCGGAGTCGGCCAGTGGAAACGTTCCTCACAGTCTACCCTTGCCAGTATTTTTACCCCTTGCAGCATGTGGTTATTACTTATTCAGACAAACATATTTCTATAAAGATACAGAAGTATAAAGTCTAAAATCTCAGGATCTGAGAAAAGGCACTAAGGAGAAGAAATCTTGGTGGAAATCAAGATTTCGGCTCCCAAGATATGGGGCTCCAGGTGTGAAAGTCCCCTGGGCCCTCAGCCATGAGGCCCCGGAGTGGGCACTTGGGTGTGAGGGCCTGCTGTACGCTGGCTGCCTCTGTCTCTGGCTGGGTTTTGTCCCAGGGCAGTGTAACCAGGCCAGGGCAGAGCCTTTGCGAGACACCAGGTCTCAGATCTGAGTCCCCTGGGCCTGGCTTGGCAGCTGGGACCCCGTTGAGGAGGATGAATGGGTGAGGCCCAGCTGCCTAGCAAAGGGACTCCGTGACAGCCTGGTTCTTCTAGAGGGATGAGTGTGAGCAACTACAGAGTTCAGCAGGTTAGCCAAGGTGAAAAATTACCCGTAACATTAAAGCCTGGAACCAGAAGTCTTTATCCTGGTTTCCTTTCCACGTATCTACAAATCATTTTCTCCTTCACACTAAAAAAAAAAAGAGGACAATTTTAGAGCCCACTAAAGTGCTAACAGATGGGGCTAGTGGTCATGCCTGACCTTAGATCATTTTGTTCAAGAGATGATGTGAGGCTTTTATTCAGCACAGAAAGCAGAGGTGATAGCTCAACAAGAAGCCACGCTCAGTGTTGGATGGTAGAAAATCCTTCCACCCTGCCCTGATCCTCATTAACACAACTCCAGTGTTATGTAAAGGATTGAGGTTGACCTGCTCCACGAGGGTGAACCCGTGCTAGGTACAGGATTTGTGCAGGCTGAGCTACACCAAGAGCAAGCCCTGAGAGAAAGACTCCAAGCTTCCTAACCGGCCCTGCGGTGGAGTTTGCTGGAGCTTCCTTTACACCCGTGGAGGGCAGCAGGGTACTGAGCTCTCCAGAGCTGGCCCTGCTGCCAGCCTGGGAGGCAGGTCTCTGGGATGGAGCTGGGGAGCTTCCCTCCATCCTTAAAGCCACAAGCCTGGTACCTACCTACCTACCTGCTTGTTTTTGTATAAACCTTCACATGTCAAATACCTTTCACGGTACCCACTGGAAAATGACTTCTCAGAAAAGCTTGCTACAATCTGACGACACAGCAGAGCTGCAGTTCTACAAGCAAAGCGAACGTGGAACTGGGGCAACCTTGAGTGGCGTTTCTCTTTGCTCAGACACCATACCAACACCCACAATTTCAAGGAAGAAGAGTTTATTTTGGCTCAGTTTTAGTCATGGTTGGCTGGTTCTAAAGAAATAGCATGGCAGAGGGGTGTGGTGGAGGAAAGGGAAACAGAGAGAAAGAAGGGCCCAGGGAGGGAGACCTTGACAGAACGCTTCCAACAGTAACAGGAGAGAAAAAGAAGAAAGAAAGGCTACGTTACATTTGCGAGAGGACTTCGGCCTGGACTGAGCTCATGCACCACACACCCAGTGGGACAAACTGAAGTGGACTCACTCATCCTTTTTTTAGAGAAGTCAGGAGAGTAAGAGATAACAGCTTCTGGGTGTGGGCACATGTCTGAAATCTCAGCACTCAGGGGGCTGAGGCAGGAGGATCTCCATGAGTTCAAGGCCAGCCTGGACTACATGGTGAGTTTAAGGCCAGCCTGTGCTACACAGAAAGACCCTGTGTCAAACAAACCAAGAGAGAGACAGAGAGAAGCAAAAATGTTCCCAGCAAGCCAGATTTTGCTGGGATGACATGGCCGTTTCTTCTTTTGTAACCTCTACAGAGAAGGTCTGTAACCTCTACAACACTGCCGTTTTTGTTCTGGTTTCCCTGAACTTTCCCTATTTATCTCTTCTGCCTGGATTTCCAAACACTCATTCTAGTTAACAGAATAAGGCGTTGCCTAATTCTACAACTGTGAATAAAGACCAAGTGAGATCTCTCTGGGTCTGTCTGTCTCTCTTTTCTTGAGACTGGGTTTCATTGTTTTCTAGGTTCGGTCTTGAACTCTTGGGCTCAGGTGATCCTCCTGCCTCAGCCTCCCAAGTAGCTGTGACCAGAGACATACACCCCTGTAGCCAGTTCAGTTAAGATCTTTGTTCTAATTTTGCCTTTGACATAAGTAAGTTATGAGCTGTGGTTTGTCTTCAGAGGCAACAGAGCGGGATGGAGAACAATAGGATTTACTTTAGATAAAAGTGACAGGGGCCAGACCCAGTGATACATGTTTTATAATTCTTGCACATGGAAGGCTGAGGCAGGACTGCTCGGGCTGAAGGTCATCCTTGGGCTACATAGTGAAAAGTGGCCTCTGAGATGAAGCTGGGCCCTGTGGTATGATCCTGCAGTCCCAGCAACAGGGGGCGACCCCCTAGGCCCAGAGATTGAGGTCAACCTGGCACTATGGCAAGACTGTGTCTCAGGGGAAGGAAATATTTGAAGTGATGTTTAACCTAAGCTGAGAGAACAATAAAGAGCCAGAGTTGGCAGTAAGAAAAGATCTCCCATGACTGCTGAGAGGGGAAGGCAAGGCCTCAGGTCAGGAGGGCCAGGCCTGCAGCCCCCAGGAGAGTCCAGTGTGTTGGAACCTGTGTAGATCAACTCCCTCCCCACGCAACTGTCCAAGTCACTGGCAGGGCCGGGCGCACTCAGGAGGTGACAGGTTCTGGCAAGAGCCAACTCTGAGACCCTGTGAGCGGGGAGCCTGGCTGTCCAGTCCTGCGACAGGGGCCCGGAAGGGGAGCTGACCTCACAAGATGAGGCAGACTGGAGGTGTGTACAGTGAGGCAGGGGTGCAAGCCGACTTCTCCCAGCTCCTGCGCAATCGAGAGAGGACTTGGAGAGCAGCCACAGGGCTGGCAAGAGGCTGTCCCGGCTTCTGCAGCTCCCCAGGCTGCTCGGCAACATGAATACAACAGCACAAAATACGGCTTCTCTGGAAACAGTCACTGGGTCGTGATGCAGCCGGACTCTGGCCTCACCTCTGCAGCAGCACCTGCTGCTCCGGTACAAGGCGCCACTCCAATGACGCATGCCTTTCCCAAGGGGATCTGCCAGGCTCCCCTGCCTGCCCTGCAGCCCTCTGACAGTCACAGAATCACCCATGTCCCCAGGGGAGTGGCCTAGTCGTCATACCGAACTTGGGCTTGCAGCTCCTTGGTGACATAGTTCACTAGCATGGCAAGCAGCTGCTGCTTCAGGGCCTCGCTGCCCAAGACCAGCGTGGTCAGCTGGACGGCGTCTGTCCAATCCAAGCTCCGCACGATGCTCATGGCTTCATTAAAGAGCTTCTGCTGCTCGGCGGGGGGCAGCTCCATTAGGATCTGTGGAACTGGCTTAAATTGTCCACTCGTCATCCAGGCACCGAGGAGACCCCCGACGGCGCCCCCTAGAAAACAAGGAAGAGCTCAATTAGTCGGGCCTGCAGACCTCAGGCTCTCGCTGAGCACATCCACCTTGGAGATGAATGGCGACGTTTGGTGAGCAGGTCAGAGTGAGTTTGGCTTCCCCCCTGCCTTGCCAGGCAGTGCGGAGGGCAGAGGTTTATGTGGTCTCTGGTCCCTGTGCCTGGATAATTGAACCCAACACACCTTCTCTAAGCTCCTCACTCAGCAGCAACACCAAGCAGGCGCGGCCCCCACCTCAGGATCGTGCCAGCTAAAATCCTCTTCAGAGCCAGAAGAAGGCACCGCATTTGTCCCATGAAAGGATTGAGAGGAACACGCGTTTCTGAGGAAAATGATCTATGATCTCCCTAGAGAGGCTGACCTTCTGGTGGCGACAGGAAGCCCGGCCTGAAGTAGGCAGGGAACTCCCAGGGCTAAAGGAGCCTGGGAACAGAAAAGCAGCCTCTTAACTCTTGTAGCAAAACTTTCACAGCGCTTCCAGGTCTCTTGTAACAGATTTAATGTGCTTTACTATTCCTTTCTGCTGCCTAACAAGGGCACAAAACTTTTTTAAAAATCCAAATGCACCACCAAAGTTAAGGCACACCATGCTGGGACCGGAAGGAACTTTGCAATGAAAGTCCCACCTACCCAAGCCACACACAAGATGGCACAAGGGAGGGATGGAGTCCTGGGCCAGGGCCCTGAACTCCAGTACCTGCAGGGGCCAGGTGAGTGAGCAAAAGGAATGAAGCAGGCAGAGCAACCCAGAGGTGACCTGGGGTACAGGGTCCCCATCTCTAGCTGGGACCCTATGCCATGCAGAACAATAGACCTGTATCTTTAAAATGTCCTGCAATTTTTAAATATCAACAATCAGATATTTAAAGATGCAACTTGGCTGAATCTTTAAATGCATGGCTCACTCCTACAGAACAGAACAGGACAGGAAACGGAAACTTCACAGTGGAAAAGCTGACCTTGACCCCAGCACATTTAACCTTGACTGAACAATCAAGGTCAGTACCATGTGCTGATGTCATGTAGCTGTCTTATACCGCTAGACTAATACAAGATGAGGACATTTCGTCTTGCAATATTTTTTTCCCCATAACCCAGGCTAACCACGAGAAACACATCTGATGAACCCAAATTGAGAGCCGTTCTATAAAATATCGGTTCAGTTACCCTCAAAAGGATCACTGTCACGAAAAACCTCTTGGTCTGAGAAAGTGTCATAGACCGGAAGACGTCAGATAAACAGACGCAACGTTGCAAAGCAGATCATTCATGCAAATGCTAGAGAACTAAAGCACGGCGGGGAATAGAGAAGAGCGATGGACCGCGGTGGTTTCTCGGCCTGCTGGTTTCTCAGCTTTGATCATATACTGTGGTCTGTTTTAGCGCTGGGGAAACCAACGCAGGGTGAAGGATGGCTGGTCATCCTCCCCACAACCTTTGCGACTTCTCGGTACATCTGTTATTATCACAAAATGAAAAGTTCACTTCAGGGCCAAAGTACGGCCAGGTGACCCTAGTCACCCTTGTGAACATGGCAAGGTGAACACAGCCCACACCTGGGGGCCTTCTGCGCCCTGCCTGGCCTGCTCTGCTCATGCTGCAAAACTCACAGAGAACCATAAACAGAGAAGAACAGAAAATGGCACTGCAATAGCGGGGCCAGCACAGGAAGCACTGGGTGATACTGTTTAGGGAGGTCTGTTTCAAGCTGGAATAGAAGTGCAAGAGCGAGAGTCTGGTGCTTTGGAAAGTGTGAAAGCGGCCGGCAAGCTCAATCCTCCCTCCCCTCATCAGGAGGAAAGCCCTTGCAGAAAAATCCAGGGCTTGTCTGCGAATCTCGCTACGAAGACGTCAGCTGATAAGATGCTGCTGACACCCTTCAGAACTACATCAACTTGTGAGTTTATGAGCCTTTTGTAACGTTGTAACTTGCTTATTCCTCCCTGAATTTGGGTCAAAATCCTTGCCAGGATCTTCCCTTTGCAGATATGGGGAGTGGAGGAAAGCATGCATCAGCTGGGACACCGTCACAGTTTTACAGCACACTCCATTTGGGAGTGCTGTTTTTATACAGTGAAGCAACAGCTTTGCAGCACAAGAAATATCCAACTGGAGGGAGGGAAAGAGGAGAGAGAGAGAGAGAGAGAGAGAGAGAGAGAGAGGATTGTTTTACACAAAAAACAACATGCGCAGGAGCTGGGTTGTATCCCTTGCACCACTGGTGCCGGCCCCACCCATGGGGTGCACTGTGCCAGCAATGGAGTCCGGACATGGTGGCCCACACCTGTGATCCTAGTGCTGGGGAGGCTGAAAACAGGAGGGTCACTAACAACCCGAGCTGTGTAGCGAGACCCTGCACACACACATAAAAAAGCAACCTGGGCCAAAGAGAAGCCACCCTGGTGCAGATGCTGCCTTTGATCCCAGCACCAGGCCCAGGCCCAACCTGTGTCCCCAGGAGAGGAGTGTGCCCAAGGAGGAAGCAGCTAATTTACAACTTTTACTGGACTTTTCCCCACGACACCCATGAAACGCATAGAGCCGGCAAGAGCCGCACTCCTCTGCACTGAGCCTTTATGAGGACATCAATATTTGATTTAGAGCAGCACTTAATGCAAAAAGTCACCAGGAATATCAACCAGCAAACAACTAGGTCTCTGGCAAAAACAAAATTCCTTTGTTTTCTGGGTAAAATGATGCTCCCACCTAGGACCAGGGCCTGGAAGCACCAAGTCTCTGGGCTCCCAAAGTAGACAGTGTGTTCTCCACCAGCTTTGACTCAATCTGAATAAAATACATACTCTCAGATGGCAGCTGGGCACAGAGCTCTCTGAGGATCCCTGGAAGGTGCTCCATAGCTGGGGGTGGGGTGGCGGACCCACTATAAGGATTTAGAATACAACTGAGGAATAAGGAAATGGCCTTGTCTGCTCCCTTATATCTTCCTTGCTGGATGGGAAAGAGCTGAAGTCAGGACTTAAGAATTCCCCAAGGAGAAACTAGGTGGGTCTGGGGCTGTCCCCACACTAGTTTTACTCCCCTGTGTAGCCTTAGTTGAATGAAATGTGCTTGAATGTCAGTCTTGCTAGCCAAGGGAAGAGTAGAGCAGAAAGACTTCCTTGCCCTCTGGCTGGGAGTCAGAAGTCAGCCTGGGGTAGAAGTGGTTTCTTGCCAGTCCAGTGACCCAGGAAGGATTTCACCACACTGCACATAGGCATTCAGGGAGTTTCTGCCTGGCTCAGCATGGCGGGGGCCAGCATTCAAGCCCCACCAGAGGCGGCCTCATCTCAGGGCCCTGCATGATAGCCCAGGCCTTCTGACTCCACCCGAGCCACACAGCTCTTCTAAGGCTCAGGACAAGGGACTTCTTCCTGCCCCTGATGCAGAGAGAGGGCTGCATCTCAGCCCCATGGAACTACACTTTCATTCAGTGCCAGAAACAGCTTCCCAAGTTGAAGTAGGAGAACAGGAGGCAGAGACGCTGCCATCAGCAACTGCAGCCCCCTCGCTGGTCTGCTCCTTTCTCTGAGGTGGACTCTGCTCTCCTACTCATTCTGAAACACAATCGGAAACATCTCTTCTGAACACACTAATTGAGAAAGGGAGAGGCTGGCCAGGAGCTCCTGTACACAAGGCATCTGCTCAAAGCAGGGGTTCAGCAACCAGCCGGAGTGACATAGACGGGTCCCTGAAGGTCACAGGCACCTATTTGGCCTCCAGGATACATCCCTGGGGGACAGCAGGGTCAGTGGCCTTGGAATCCTCCACTCAGAGAAAGGGGTCCTCAGTGTCTGAGGGACATGGAAGTCACAGCCCAGAGCATTCTGTCCTTCTGAGGTATTCACAAAGATGTTTATGTTTCTTTTCATTTTTAATTTTTTTCAATTCTGAGGACTGAATCCAGGGCCTTCCCAGCTATGATTTCAGCCCTTGTTTTATTTTTTAATTTGAGACAAAGCCTTAAGAAACTAGGCTGCCTAAGCTGGCATCAAACTTGGGACCCTCCCACCTCCGTCTCCCAGAGTGCCAGGATTACAGGTGTGTAACACCATGCCTAGCTACCACAATGGACTGCGCACACAGAGACCATTTCACGGGTGCAGATTAACTCCACAAACCCTACACACAGACATTGTTCCTACAAGGCAGTCTTCTCTATAATTTCAAAGGTCCTTTCATGATACCACCATGACTGGCCATCCCGTGGAGACCCCGGACTTACCAACAGCTAGTCCTGGCGGGCCACCGACCAAACCACCAACAAAGGCCACGGCCCCTGTGAGCAGAGCGCCCTTCCCAGAGTGCTTGAAAGCCGCCTGCATTTTCCTCTCCTGGGAGATGGAGCACAGCAGCTGCATGATGTCACCCACCATGACGGGCATCTCCGCAGACCTGAAGGTGAATTCAAGGGCACAGCTCTCATGAGGTCAGGGAAACCGCCACCTAAATGGTACTCTTCTGGGAGCTCTCAGGCAGGGTTGTCATTGTCTGGAAAAGACAACAGCTTGGCCCCTTTGCATGAGAGACCACATCCAGTCAAGTGGAAAGTTATCTTGTCACAGAGATGCAGGCCAGCTGTTAGCTAAGAAGCAAGCAGAAGCAGTAGAGGGGACCCAGGTTTTCTGCCTCAGATGAACTTCTGATTAGTGACAGACCAAAAGCAACCCTGGCCACATGTTTTCCCCATTATCCCAGGGGCAGCAAGGCTGACCCAAGGCATCAGTGGCCACTCAGTCAGCTCAGGATGTCCTCAAACACAGAAAGTCCCAGCCGGGCACTCTTTCCTGTGCCTGGGCATCCAGGCTAATACTAAGCCAGAGTAAAGAGAACACTGGGACCACACTGGCATCTGTCGGCTTTGGGAGCCTCGGAGTCACAGACCTGGCTTTCAGATGGAGATAAACCAGCCCCAGGTTGTAACCGGTAAGGTGCAGGTAGGGTGGGTGTAAAATGACAAGAGTCTGGGACAGTGCAGATTGTGTCATGACTTCCTGAAGCAATGACTCTTAAAAGGTCATATGGGTCTACACATGAGACATTAAAAGCTGGACCAAGATGAAGGTGTACAAGGAGCAAGCTAGGCTGGCTGTGGTGGCGCACACCCACAATCCCAGCACTTGGAGAGGCTGAGGCAGGAGAATCGCTGCAAGTTCAAGGCCAGCTTGGGCTATAGAGTGAGTTCAAGCTGACCTGAACTACATAGCAAGACCCTGTCTCCAAAAACAAAACAAAAAAAGAGCAAGCAGACAATAAAGAATTTCAGGAGTTTGCAATATAGCTGGAAAGACAGACCTTTCTTTTCACTTTTATTTTTATAAAAATATTGGGTCCTTGGGTCCTGGAGATTGAATCCAAAGATTTCATACTGAGCTATATCCTGAGCCTTTTTTATTTTTTTTTGATTAAAAAATTTCCCCAGCCTTTTAAATTTTGAGACAGCTTCTTGCTAAGCTGTTAAATGGTCAGGGCTGGGCTCGAACTTTCCATCTTTTTGTTTCAGCCCCAGAGTGCAGGGGTCACAGGGCTGGTCAGATGGACCTATAGAGCAATAAACTTGGGGGGGGGGGAAATGAGGTTTCCCCCAAGTTTATATAGAAGAAAATAAAGATGGGTAGGAAGAGGGCAAGGAAAAGCAGAACTCAAAACTACTTTTTAGAAGGCAATAGTTCCAGGATATAGCCAGTTACCCAAAGTTATCTTTTAAAGATCTTTTTTTTTTTTTTTTTTTTTTTTGCGGGGGGGACCTCAGCCCGCCCTGGCAGGGGTCAAACTGTGGTACCAGTGCTTGCTTACACTTGTCTAAGCAGGTGCCTTAGACCACTGAGCTATCTCACCAGCCCGTAAAGGTCATTTTTTTAAAGTTTGCTTTCCTCCACCTGGCTGATCACATCCAAGCTCCCTTAAAGATACTTTAAGTTCATTGATGAGTTTACCTGATAAAATAAAGTGCAGAAATCGGATCATAAGATAAAGGAAGAAATTGCACAAGTTCAAAGAATGGTTTTTAAACAAAACATCTTGGGTCACCCATCCAAAAAAAAAAGATGGGGCTCATGCCTTTGACCTGTAAAATCGGCCATCATCTTTTCTGTTGAGAGATTGAGAAGGAACTTCCTACAGATTCCCAAATTCCACCACCTCAAATGCATGAGTATTCCTACCTCCCAGCGGAAGCACCTCTCTTGAGGGCCTGCACTCTATTTCTCTGAGTGCGTACTATTAAACTTCTGCCTCACAAGTTACCTCAAGCCTCTTTAAAAAAAAAAAAAAAATGACCTTTAGAAGAACTGTCTGAGGTCAGGAAACTGCCACTCTGGCAGGGAAATGCCAGACAGAGGCATGAGCAGGGGCAGGCTGGGCTTCCCTTCCATCCAAGGATGGGTAGGAAGGGAAAAACCAAAGCTGACAGGGCCCCTGGGGGGCTGGGAAAGAAAGTAAAAGCAGCAGAGCCCTCCACAAAGCTTCCTCCAGGCCCAAGGCTCCTCCGCACCTTCTGTCCTCTGCACGCTTCCCTTTTCCTTACAGGGAAACTGCAGCTAAAGGACTGTGATTAACCAAGTTTAGGGCAGAGTCTGTTGTTGCTCAGTGGCTTTTGGTTTGATAATGTTTAGATCCAAGAATAGGCTAGGAAAATGCTGAAGCCCCTACAAACACACTCAGCCACCTTATCTTTGACAAAGGGGCCAAACACACTCACTGGAAGAAAGATAGCCTCTTTAACAAATGGTGCTGGAAAAACTGGCTCTCCACATGCCAAAAACTCAAACTTGACCCAGGTCTATCATAATGCACTAAACTAAAGACAAAATGGATTAAGGATCTAAACATTAAAGCAGAGACACTAAATCTCCTGGAAGAGAAAGTGAGAGGAACTCTTGAAGACATAGGGGTAGGCAAAGAGTTCATGGACAGAAATCAAATCTAACAGGAAACAGGTGAAGAATTAACAACTGGGACCTGCTCTTACTGAGAAGTTTTTTCACGTCAAAAGAAATTACCAACAAAGTGAAAAGGCAACCCATAAATTTGGAAAAAATCATGACAAATAAGTACTCAGACAAAGATCTGCTCTCTAGAATTTATAAAGAACTAAAAAACACTAGGGCCCCAAAATTTAAAGAACCAATCCAGAAATGGGCATCCGAGATGAACACACACTTCTCAGAGGAAGAAATTAAAGAAGTGAATAAATATATGAAAAAATGCTCCACATCACTAGCCATTCGTGAAATGCAAATTAAAACCACATTGAGATATCATCTCACCCCAGAAAGAATGGCTATCATAAAGAAATCACCCAACAACAAATGTTGGAGAAGCTGTGGGGAAAAAGGAACCCTTCTCCACTGCTGGTGGGAATGCAGACTGGTGCAACCGTTATGGAAATCAGTACGGAGACTCCTTAGAAAAGTTGGACTGGAAATCCCATTTAAACCAGCTATTCCTCTACTGGGAATTTTCCCAGAGGATCTGAAAACATCATATCATAGGGATATATGTGTGCCTATGTTTATAGCAGCACAATTTGTGATAGCCAAATCTTGGAAACAACCAAGATGCCCATCACCTGAGGAATGGTCGAGAAAGATGTGGTACTTTTACACAATGGAGTATTATTCAGCTATTAAGAATGATAAACTGGAAGCCTTTATATTGAAGTGGATGCCACTTGAACATATACTCATAAGTGAAATAAACCGGACACACATGTGTAAATATCGTATAGTCTCCCTCGTATAAGACAAGTCTCTAACCTAAAATCATCCTTTCTAAACTGAGGGAGAAAAATCTGAGCCCCTAGAGCCGACATCTCAGGTCCACACCATCGTACCACTGCAGAAGCTTTCTAGTCCTTCCCCGCACCCCCAGGAGGGGGGATGTGTGCAGGTCCCATAAATTCCCCGGGCTTTTCCCTCTGATGTACTTTAGCTAGACGCCTCCCTCCCCGCAGCAAAGGCTGCATTTAAGGTCCTGTTAGTCCAGCTGGCACAAACAGGGCAAGGTTCTGCATTGCTGAGCTCTGGGTCGCAAGACTCAAAGACAGGAGAGCCCAGGCGCTCGAGGTCTGTTACTCAGTCTGTGAACTCAGAGGTGACCAGCAGGTGTCTCCCAGCCGTGTGGGCTCCGGGGCAGGACAGGCTCAGGCATTCCCGTCCCAGTGCCTGCTCTGACCGCCTTGGGCCCGGGTGTCCTAGCACCTCCTGTCTTCCAGGGCTGCTGTGTCTAAACAGACTGACAGCCCCTTCCAGGTGAGAAGCACGTCCCCCTGTTCTACTGATCAGGACTTGTTCCCACACAAGTCACAACAATAAATTCACAGAAATACAGGGAAGGCATTAAAGATAGCAGATTCAGCCAGGCATGGCAGCTTACATTTGCAATCCCGGCACTGGGGGTGGGGGGAGGTTGAAGCAGAAAGATCGCCATGAGTTCAAGGCCAGCCTGGGCTCCACAAGTGAGTTCAAGGTCAGCCTGAACTACAGAGCGAAACCCTTTCACAAAACACACAAAAACAAACAACAACAACAACAACAAAAATGGCTGAAGCCACCCAAAGCTGGGAAGATGGAAGGCATGACCTGACTTACTCGGTGGCCATGGTCACGAAAAGCTATGGGAACAAACAAAAGGTTTATTTCATGTGCACAATGAGACCACCTCAGGAATTAATTTAATGGTAAAACCTTTTAGAAAGCTAAAAATCCTATTGTGAAATATCTGATCACCTTCCACTCTAGCTGTCATTTAGATTCCAATTTTAATGTAAACTGCGCAAGAAAGAGGGAGGCACAACCCAGGCCTCAGGAAGGACCCCTAGAGACTACAGAGGATCCCACTAGGAGAGGCCTGAGGACCCCACACCCCACCATCCTTGGCCAGCAAGGATCAGGAGTATGTGCCACCACAGCGGGCCATAACCTGGCCTTTTACAGACATACCAAATAAGATACGCAAGGACCCAACTCCATAAAAACAAGTGAGATAAGCTGGTCTGAGTTACGCAGTCATGTGCAACTCTCTGGGGGGAATTTACAGAACTCGGGGTGCACTGACTCGTGAACTTTTGTCGCCCCATTTCCCAGTGTTCCAGCACAAAGGTCACAGGGGGGCGCTGCCAACAACACGGCAAAATGTGTGGTTGGTTTATTCTAATTAACTGCCACTACTTAAAGATAAGACACACATACTTCAGATTCCTGATTTCTTATAAACTCAGACCACTTTAGATCTGTTCTCCTGAGTGGTAACGTGCTCCAAGGCTGAGCTGGGTCTGGCATCCTAATACACACGCACGCACGCAGACACACAGGGGGCACTACCCGTTCTGCCACAGATCGTGGCGTTGGCATGCAGTTTATTTACCTAATTGATCCATAAAAAGACCTTTGCACAACCTCTCAAAGGCTCCCTACTACCTCTCAAAAGAGCTATGGAAATTCACCGTCCCCACAAAACTGATCTGGCCTTCGAAAACAGTCATCCCTTCCCGATCATCTCCAAAGAAGGGAGCACCCCATCCTCTTTCCAAGGGCCTGAGGAGGTGCCCGGCGTCCCCCGCCCCGCCCCACGCCCACCCGCACCTCCTCCCATTCACGCGCAGCGCCCCGGGAGCTCGGCTGCTCCCCGCGTGGCTGTGGCCGCGCTGTACCTCACTTTCTTCACGTGGAGAATGCGTGCGCGGACAGCGTCCACCCGACGCAGCGGGGGTCAGGCCCAGGCACTGCGCGGGCTGCGCGCCTTCTTATCCCGCTCCCCGCCGGGCGCACCCGGCCCGCCCCGCCCGGCCCGGCCCAAACCCAGCCCTAATCCGGCCCAAGCCCAGCCCTGAGCAGGTCCAGCCCGGCCCCGCGCTGAGCAGGCCCGCAGCTCCCCGCGCCGCAGCCACCGCCGCCCGCACGCAGGCCCCGCCCTCCAGCCTTCCGGCGCCGGGGCCTTCCGGGTCGCCGCGGTCCCCGCCGCACCACTCCCCGCCCGGGTTTGTCCCATCCGCTGACATCTGATCCCCACGGGATGAGCGAAGGGGGCGGGAATATGGAGATGAGTCCCGGAGCCCCGTCCACACCCGGCCCTTGCCGGCACCTCGCGCTTCCCAGGCGTCTCCCCGAGGCCCTTGTCCCCTTTGGCCTGGGCATAGGGTCTCGGGCCTCAGGCCTCTCCCCGCAGCCTGGGCTGGGAGAGGGCCCAGGGGCATCAGGAGGGCGACTGTGCTGTTACTCTCTGGTGGATGAATACCCTAAGGAGAATCAAAGGATTTGGAAAGGAGCCGCGAGAGGGGGCTGCATCCTGGGAGGCTGAGGCAGGCGAAGTTCCAGCCCAGACCGGGCGAGTTAATGACGTAGCTAGATCTTGTCTCAAAAAATAGAGTTCAGGATGCAGCCCAGTGTGAAGGCCCTGGGATCGAGTGTCAGTACTGAGGGGGAAAGGAGGTAGGTAGCGCAGGCTTTGCAGAGGTGCGACAGTTCCCGCAGCCAGGGCAAGGCTGGGTTGAGGACCTTGGCAGGGGCAAAAGGGGGACTATAACAGGAAGAAGCAGGCAGAGGCGGGTACAGAGGCCCTCGGGAGAAATCTCCATCTTGCTCTGGGAGGTACAGGGCTGGCCTCGCACCCAGGTGTGCAGGAGGCCCCTGGAGGCTTTCCCGGCACCAAGGCTCGACTTACCCCTGACAGCAGCCTGTGCGCAGGCGCTTTTTTCATTGCCTTGTTAGGGAAACCTAGACATAGAGGGATCGGACCGTCCAGAGCCACCCAGTAAGGTGACGTCAGGGAACAGATTCCTGCCTGGGTCCATCTGGCTCATAACCTGCGCTCTGCCTGGCTGCCTGGGTGCTGTGGCCACCCAGGGGACAAACCTCTTTTCCACTGCCGGAGACATTTTGTTCCATGTGTTCTCTATTGGCCCCCATAGGACAAAGAACCAAAGCCCTTAATGCGCCGATCCCCATGCTGGGGTGAAATGATGCAATCCAGGGCTGAGTAGGGGCTGTGCTTGCGTTTGGGCAGCGTCTACAGGTGAAAGTTCACTGAGGCTAAGAATAGACCAACCTGCGGAGTACAGCCAGAGCCTGAGAGTGCTGGGGTTTCTCCGTCGACGGCTCCCTCTAGCGACGCATGGAAGAACTGCACGCACCTGCGGATTACTTCCTAGAGCCTGGTGGAAGTACCAGGAAGGGGCGGGGACGGGGATGGGAGGAAAAGAACCTCAGAGTCCAAGAAGAGGTAACTGTGAGTTTATGCACATTTCAACCCCTCAAAAGGGGCCGGGGAGATGGCTCAGTGGAATAAGCACTTCCATGGCTAAGCGCAAGGGTCTGAGTTCAATCCCCGATTCGGGGGGGGGGGGGGGGGGCGGGGATGGGGAACAAACAAAAGCAATTCGTTTAGGGGCAGGGGAGATGGCTCAGTGGAATAAGTGCTTCCCTGGCAAGCGCAAGGGCCTGAGTTCAATCCCTGGTTCCGAAAAAAAAAAAATCCTAACTAAACTTTGATTTATTTTGGGGCTGGTGAGATGGCTCAGTGGTCTAAAGCACCTACTTAGAACAAGCTTAGCAAAGCACAGGGACCACGGTTCAATCCCCCAGCA